TGCCGTGGCGTCAGCCTCGCTCACGGCAACCTCCGACTCCTGGGCTTGAGCGATCCTCCTGCCTCAGCCTCCCCAGTAGCTGGGACGACAGGAGTAGCTGGGACTATAGGAGTAGCAGGGACTACAGGCATGTGCCACCATGCCCGGCTAATTTTTTTCTATGTATTTTAAGTTGTCCAGCTATTTTCTTTCTATTTTTAGTAGAGATGGGGTCTCGCTATATTGTCCAGGCTGGTCTCAAACTCCTGACCTCGAGCGATCCTCCCACCTCGGCCTCCCAGAGTGCTGGGATGACAGGCGTGAGCCACCGTGCCCGGCCTAATATTACGTATTATTAATACTAATAATGGGGCACAGTCTACGATCCGGATTACCCCGGTTCTGTAACCGAAGGCTGTCATGGTAACATGAGCACCTACTACTCGTTGGGTAACCGGGTACCACACCCAACGCTACCAGTTTTATCCTTGTAACTCTGAGAGTTATATTCCCTCTGAGAGGCGATCATTCCTCCCACTTAGCAGACAAACTGCTGCTCAGAGACTAAGTCACTTGCCTAACGCCACACAGCTGTGAGCACAGCCAGGGTTCCCTTCAGGACTCTGACTTCGAAACCACGTTCTCCCCTTCAGCACCTGCTGCCTGGACCCAGATGTTTCAAGGACAGTGGCTGAGGGGGGTCTTTGGGGACTGTCCGCCGTCACCCCGGCCTGAGCAGGACCCACCACGGGAGCCACTGGAGGTTTCCAGCCGCTGACGCGGGGAACGGCGGCCAGGATTCCGCAAGTGGCCCCAGGAAGTCCAGCCGCCACCTGCTCTACAGCTCAGTGCTGCTTCTCTCTGTGAGGACGTCCCTGACAACTGGGAAAATTCACGCCCAGGTTCAGAGACGGGTCCGGGCCCCCTGACACACGATCGTGACGTGCGGCGTGGGGCGGCAGCGGCCCTTTCTTGGCCCGGCCACCGCGCTCGTGTTCTAGCACACACGGTTTCCCGGGAGTCGGGAAGAAAGCAGGAGCTGCCATCTTCACCGTTCCTGGCGGGTCCAAACCCCACGCTCGGCGCTGCCCAACACACGCGCCGTCCTCACGCCGTCCCGTGCGGCGTCCCCCACGGCACCCAGGCGAGGGAACCAGGACGCGGGGAGAGGCCACGCCGCCTGCCAGAGCCACGCGGTCCCAGACAAGGGGCCTGCACGGCCACACTCACCTTCAGCTGCTTGGTGCCTTTGGCGGTTTTGAGTCCGATGATCACGTGGCTGATGGTTTTGCCGTAACCCCCCATGGGGCTCTCGGTCTCGCACGGAGTGAGCTCGGTCACTTCACCTTCGTAGACTTCCTTGGTCTCTTTGATCCGCAGCCCTGGAAGAGACGGCACATGGGCCACCGTGAGAAGCGGGATCCTCTCTCCCAACCTGTCTGCCTGTCACTCGGTGACAGCCTTGGTAGCCGAAAACCTCTGTGTCGTAAGAACTGACC